TTTGTTTTCTGATAGTTAGATTGCCTTGACTCTTGTACTTTGCCTTTGAATCTCCAGTAGGTTCAGTTTCCTAGACCTCTACATTGTTTTACCCTAATTCTGGTCTCCCCTGGCCAGGCTTATTTTATGCACCAACCTGCCAAAACCACCCGGAATCCAGACACTGCCAGTGAAGACTGAATTTTCCATTAGTATAATGGAAAAATTAAAATAAGCATATCAGCAATTGTAAAGGAAAATGTGTTTAATAGGCCATTACTTAAAACTCTGTTATCACTCACTCACTCACTCACTCACTCACACACACACACACACACACACACACAGAGAGAGAGAGAGAGAGAGAGAGAGAGAGAGAGAGAGAGAGAGAGAGAGAGAGAGAGAGAGAGAGAGAGAGAGAGAGAGAGAGAGAGAGAGAGAGAGAGAGAGAGAGAGAGAGAGAGAGAGAGAGAGAGGAAACAAAAGGACAGAAAAATACAGCTATGCAGAATCTGTTCATGAGCTAATATAGGAAATATATTAAAATCTAAACAAAAATATAATATGTTGCACTATAGTGAAGAACAGAATCTTCAGATGACTTCAGCAATCTCCAGAGGCAAACAGTGTCCCTTCACAGTTGTGGAAGTAGTCAACAGATCCACCTTCTGTAAGCAGTGTTCAAAAGAGGAATTATGCATTGAACATACCATTCTTTCCTCAGCCAGGATATTGACCTAAGTCTGGTTTCTTAAGTACAGCAGGATTTTGAGTACAGGACTAGCCTCTGTAAAACAGAACACTTTCCTAGGCAGATGTTACTGTCATACATCTACCTGTGAGATTAGAAACAAGATGGAGCATAGGAAGGAAATGCCAATTACTGTGTTAAGATAGAAAGGATCATATTGAGGACCAGTCAGAGATTTTACAAGGAGACATCACTGCTCTGCTTGGGTTTCTTCTCTTTCAGGGACAGAAAAAAGTTGAAAAACTCATTTTAAAACTTTAAATATTCAAAAATGATCCCTATATTCCTCTAATCTACTTTTTCATTCTTTTAAACTGAAGAACAAAATATATACAGCTCTACTGCATGAACGGGTGATCTCAGAGGGTGCAAGGACCATTTTGCAGATTTGTCAGCAGACCAGGGAACATACTTCCAAGAGAGAGGAGTTAAAAGAGCACAACCAAAGCAGCAATTTGCATGTTAAATTCATTATTTTTGTAAAGGCCACAACAATGGTTTATAACTTCCAAATGGATCTAAGTAAAAATATTGGGACGGGGGGTTATACTGGAAAAAAACACACCACTTGTTCTAATGGTCAATTTTTTTAAAAAAAGGAGAGCACTGAGACCCCGGGGATACTGGGCAACTCTTAAAACAAGCGAAGGTTTTTTTTCCCCACCCCTTAAAGGGCACAATGAGTCCTTCTGGGGGAAATGCTCTCTTTTACAAAATTGGACCACATGATGGAGTTGTGGGAACCACAAATGCCGTAAAAATGTCCTACATGTTGTCCACTCCTGCTGTATTGCAACAAGTTGAGAAACATAGTTGTAACATCCCATTTATGTCAGTCCTTTCAGGGTTTTCAAAGTATGTGAGATGTTCAAGAAGTTACCACTGCCAAACTCAGTGAATGTCTATGGCTGCATGGGTATTTCAGCCTAAATATCCTATGTCCTAATGTGACACTGTGCCATTGCACCACACTGGCATAAGTTTAAAATAGCATCAATTAATAATAACTCAATGAAAATGTACCTTGAGTCAATTGCATCGAGTCCATTACAGGTCGTCTCATACATGAAACCAGTATTTAACTCTTTAAGAGCCGTAGTAAGACTACAGAATCATCCTGATGACTCTATGATCTATTTTTATTTGAATTCCATTTCCATTCTTATTTGAAAACAGATCTTACATTTACTGCAATGATATATTCAAAGCAGTTTTGGAAAATTAATGTGCCCTGTCATTGTGTTACTGATGCCCAATTGATATTTCAAGAATTATAGTCTTCACACAAAGCCAAAATACCCCTACTACCAACTGCCCCAAAAGCCATTAAAAGTGTTTTGAAAATTGATCCTTGAACAGTAAATCACTATTATTACATCTCTTACGTTCCTGTGAGCAGCTCTATGTGTAGCCTCTTGATTGTGTGTGCATATTTATTTATTCACATTAAAAAAGCAAGCAGTTCTTCTTAGTACATGAAAAAACTTAAATGCCCTTTTAGTGATTAATCTGTGGCACCTACCTTCTCCTAAATTTTTGAGAATTTGATTTTAAAAAAAAAAACCCTTCTCTTCTGCACGTACTTTCATTTGAATATATTTCCCTGGAACTGTAATTGTTCAGATCACATTATGTCATTGCTACCTGCACAGGCTTTTCAGGACAAAATGAAAGGCTCCACCCTACAAAATATTCAGTTGGGAGTCCATTAGGACACATGGAGCTACAAAGTCTTTATTGAGGTGCATGGCACTTCCCCTGTCAATTTTTAAAGAGAATTCATCCTAATTTTGCTATGCATACAAATGAAAAGTATGGTGAACATCATTCAAACAAGTCACAAATTAAATTTAGTCACTGAAATGCCATTTGGGCACAGGTTCTATCATACTGGACATATTTTCCAGTGGAATTCCACAGTTACCTTACTGGTACCAATGACAAAATTCTTAAGATAATTTGTTTTAATGGTTTCTTTCCCATCTGTCATTTCCACATCCTAAAAATGAGCAAACATTTTTAGGATGTTCCACATCCTAAAAATGCACAAACGTACCTACATATGGTACATTTCCTATTCCACTTGATAGACATGGGCCTGACATGGTCTGTCATGAAAAGTCACAGAGGAAAATCATGCCACCAAAAAGAACTGGATGCATTCCATTGCTACCTGGTTTGAGTGTGTTTTCTTCAACAGCCCTATCACTTAAACATGTTGTTTGAAGGAGGAAGAACATTTTTTTCCTATTGTACTCTTTTCAGACAAGAAAGTCTCATAGAGTTATGGCATATTGTGTACATACGTCATGCAGTGTAAAACATTATATTGGAACCTCAGGGCAAACAACAGAGGACTCTGCCACATTGCTAGTTGAAAAAAAAACCTTGCCAGGAAGTTCTTTCTGCCAAAGAAGCCATTCTGAAATAGCTTTGAACCACTAATGTCTGAAACAATCATTTTTATGTTCTGTTCAACAGTGCAGAAAGAATTAAGACCAATATATGTTGAATTTTATTGCATTGTTGTATTTGTACAAATCCAAAGTACCTTGCCTAAGAAACAGTAGGGGATACATACTTGACTTTTCTCTGCCATTTTAGTTAGTTTACATTTTTAATTCATTACTGATGTCAAATTTTAGTCTTAGTTGCCAAGTAAAAAGCTTTTGGGAAACTCACTGTGATTACTGCTTTCACAAAGAGGAAAGCAGGCACCCGATACATATAATTATGTGATATATTCTAAATATATACAAATCTTTACATAAAACAGTAGCTTACTTCCTAGTATGCTTCTCATATTTAATATACACAAAATAATTGTTAACTTATTAATGCTTCATTGTTGGTATATGGTTACAGGGAGTATTATTAAACTTTATCTAGCACAGATAAACCTTTTTCCATTTTTGCACACTCAAGACTTCCCTGTACCTATGATGCCTTTTATCATTATCCATTTATTTTATTAATCATTTTTACATAAACACAGAAACCATATTCATCATTCCCTGAGTCTGCGCGCTTTCTATGATATGCTGGTGGCACAAAGCGAGCTGCCACAGAAAGTAATGTAGATGTGGTCTGCACATGGTAGCAATGTTTTGTGGCAGCTCATTACCTCATTCTTTGGTCTATTTTTGTATTAGATGGCTGGTCTGCTAACATATCCATATTAATAAAACCTGCATAAAAATGAAAATTTTCGTATGCCTGGCACTTCCATCTCATTCAATCTAGTGTACATCTCTCTCTCTCTCTCTCTCTCTCTCTGTATATACACATCTGAGAATTGCACTCTCAGTCCTTATAATGTTAAGGATTTAAATAGTGGGTTTAATTTAGACTTGCACTTAACACAATTTTTCTCCCGTGAGACAGAAGAGGTTGCAGTGGTATGTTTCGCAGAACACTCCTTTTCTCTGAAGCCCTTTGTGAACATAACATATTCTCCCTCTCTCTCCCTCCCTCTCTCTCTCTCTCTCTCTCTCTCTCAGAGAGGGAGGGAGGGAGACATAAACTGCCTCAAGAGGAACCTTCCAGAACAACATAAGCAGAAATGGAGACTGCAAGGAGGAAGAATCAGCAAAAATTACCACCTTTTCCCTTTCCTCAGGAGGACATCTATATTGAATCATGATTCCCATTCATCCCCAACAAACAAAATAACCCCTATTCTTAAAAAGGTAAGCCTATGTAACCCTTTGTGTTAAACTGCCTCAACTGTACATTTACTGAAATTTGTCAGCAGAAAGAAAGAAAGAAAGAAAGAAAGAAAGAAAGAAAGAAAGAAAGAAATTTTCCTAGTTTTCACATAAGGCACCAGTAGGATATAGATTAGGGTTTTTACAACACAGTAGGAACTAGCCCATATTGCATTAAACATTACAGAAGCCTCGAAGCACAGAAAATGAGAGAAAAATCATCTCTAATTTTTATACTCTACAGGGATAAACTTTTTTTTCTTTCAGCAATCAGGCCTCATTAAATCAAACAGTTTTCAGAAAACTAGTCACTGTTTTTATAAATGTGCAGAAAGAATGCAGATTTGGTTTTTTCCTCAGTAACAACCCAGGACCTTATTTTGCTATTTAGGTGGAGGAATTCATAGTGAGGTTTGGCAAGCATTTGAAAATGATGAACCACACATGTTTAAGGCTGAAAGGAACACTGCAAGGGACTAGCAATGGTAGAATCCCCAGTTTTGAATGTGTGGCAGACATGAAGGAAAAAAAATATAAATCTCAAGACTCTTATTTATACTAACCTGTATTTTGATTGGCCATGAAAAGTTGCTGACATATACATAGAAAGTAATATTCGGGTTGCTCCTGAAGTTGAACTTTTCACAGGAAAAACTGTCTCTGTATTCCTTGATATTAGCCCTTGAAACCACAGGAATCTCTTCTCCAGATATTGTTCCAGCTACAAAAATATTTAAAAACAACAAAACATAGATCAGTTTTGCACATGGATTTTCATTTGTGGCCACTCTACCCAGCACCAAGGGTGAGTCAGAATAATAAAACCAATTTTAAATTAAAATTTATAAAACATGTATAAAAATATTCATGAATATATGCAAATACAAAGTCCCCAAAGCTCCACCCACTCCAAAGGAAGAAATTTAACCACAGAGTTCTTCTCTGTGTACTTTGATGTTCAAACAAATCAGGTAAATGATCTTAGAAATTAATGTGGAAACATAAAGAGGAATATGTAAACATGTAAACCCAAGTTCTTTGAAAGATAGAAAAAAGCACTACAAATATAAAATGTGACTGTGTATATATTATACATATGTACTCCTAGTATATGCTCACTTCTGAAGAATATTAATGATTCCTAAATCATACATAGAACAATGCTGGGTTTATAGCAACTTTATCTCACTAATGCAACCAATAAAATGTCTACATGTAATTTATACCAAAATTGCATCAGTTAATCAAGTATGGAAAAATGATTTTAAAATATTGCTGTAGTATACTGTTCATAAGAAATTTAATATTAAGCCAGATAAACAACTCATTTGCAAGACTCTACTGCTACTCAGCATGATCTGAATTGCTGAACTGGAGAAATGAAACAAAAGCTTACATATACCAAAAGGAATTTCTAGGAATAGTATGATGTGTGTGTGTGTGTGTGGGGGGTTTCTTTGAAAATCATTCCTCACCCTACAGAAAGTATTCTTAGCCTGGAAGAGAAATTGTGTTGCTTATTATGGAACTCATTACTTTCCCATGAATTTAAGTTTCTTGTTAAAGAAAAAAATCCATCTACAAAAATTAAAAGATGTCATAAAAAGTGAAAAAGAAAAATATCTTCAAAATGTCCCTGAATATATTTCAGCCAAAATGTAATGAGAGAAGATACCAAGTAAATGCTAGCCATTAAAACTCTTATGTCTGAGGAGGTGGACTTGTCCACATTAAAATATTGCTGTTAATCTTTAAGGTGCCGCAATATTTTTGTCTTCTTTACTTTTTACTTTTCGTCTGGTTTTGGCCTTTGAAACTATTCATTAAAAGAACAAAGGAATGTTGCCAATCATTGCATATTTTCAGAAGCAATGTTATAGGTGATGGCATTACCTGTGCTGCATTGTGTTCAAGAATGAACATAAACACCATATGATGCCAGCCCAGATCTCAGAGTAACAAGGAGTTAAGGAAAAATGTGTGTGTGTGTGTAACATAATGAATTCTAGGTTTTCCATCATGAATTTTAGGGGTGTCTTCCTGTTCCAGTCACTCAGTGCCTTTGACTTTGGTCTCAACATGTGTTTGGGACATTTTCACATGATATACAGTACATATTTGATTTGTAAGCAAGTGGTACATATCTTGTGGCAAAAAACCAAACAAAAACAAAAAAAGCCCTGTACCAAATGTTTGGAAGGGAACAGCATGTGTATTAAACACAGGAACACACAGGTGCATCTTGGATGTGTGCCCATGATATGGTTGCAAACTTACATTTTCTCTTTCAAATACTGTGGCATTCACTGGGGATAAACATAAATTGACACTTGGAGAAACAGATCTATTTTATAAAGAGTGAAGTACGTCCTGTTCTTTTCATTCTGAATAATTAATTAAAATTCAATCAATGGTGTTCTCCTTGGATATATTCTCAGAAAGTCAACAGAACCAATTCAAAGAAACTTTCTAAACACAGAATTATATTAAAAGCCAATACAGAAGTTGGGTTCACAAGTTTTTTCAAGGGGGAGGGGGTGAAAGATAAGCAGAGTTTTTTTATCAGCACCCAACAGAAGGATTTTATTGTTTGATATCAATGTTAAGGTTAATAATTAAATTCCTAGCTTGAACACAGAAACAAAGAAATTAAAAACTCAGCCTCTGCAGTAGTTAAGGAAGTAATTTATCTTAATTAAAATCATTGTGTTCATAATACTGCCATTCTAAAATTTTAAAGCACATACAAGGTTTTGCTATCCAAGTAATTTTAATTGAATAGAGAAGAAAGTTAACATGTTAATGAACCTTTATTCAGATTGCAAATTATCTGAGTTTTAAGTAATATCATTAATAATAGCATAATGAGAATGGGAAAAGAATACATTTTATTAAGCTTTACTAATAAGAAACAAAGAAGGCAATAATGTAAATATAGTTAAACTATCAGTACTTGAGATAATATGGAAAAACGGAAAAATCAGTATTGGTCTTTCTTACCTGTATTGCCAATAGACCAGGTGATATTCAGGTTAAAGTTGTTTGATGCATTAATCGATATATCCAAATTTTTGTTTGACTAAAAATTTTAAAGGGAAACCATGAGTAAATATACTTTTTATAGCAATGGCTTTATCCCAGTCAGCAACTCCACCCAGTCCCTAATCCTAAATATCTTGGACATGATAAGTAGCACTGGACTATGAATTTCAACAACTCTCTCCGCCATAGCTAGAAATGTAAGTTCTTTCTGCATATGTCTCTGAAAAGGATCCAATACTGATTTTAAAAGGATACCCAGCTGATCTCAAAGAGTGTAGGTGATGGACCAAAACCCAGAAAAACTGCTCTGGTGAGCAACGAGGACTTGTCTGGTACCAAATATGGAAGGAGGGGAAAGTAATATTTAACTAATAAAAACAACCTGGAGCACATGTTGCATAATCAACATGGTCAATAACCCGAAATTATAGCCCGGTGCATATTCTAATATCTATGCAGTACAGCTAAGTGTGTGGTTCTCTCAACACATACATAGGCATATGCAACTGGATCAGCTTAAAGGACAGGACATTAACACCTCAGAGGACAGCATGGTGTGTTGAATAACAAGTCCTCTCTTTAAGTATCAGCTTTGAGCAGGGGTCTGCAGTAATATGCCTCAGCTTTCAATCTGTAACATCAAGATAGTCTTCCTTATATGTTTGCTACAAGGATTAAGGCAACCATGTTCATAAGGCAGCTTGCAAACCTAAGAGAAATACCGAGCTCAGAATCCTGTTGGGATTTTACTCTGAAATCACATAAGTTTATTTATTTATTTTTATTTCATTTCATTTATATACTGCCCATTTAGCCACTCTGGGCAGTTAACAACATAGAGCAAGATAATAAAAACATAACTACAAATATAAAAGCATAATAAAACATAATAAAATACTGCAAGTTGTGACTGCAAATTGCAGCCAATTAACCATGTGCCAATCAAACGGTTGACTTCGTGCTTGGTCACATAACTGGCAAACAACCAGGCACACGACTGGCATCTTGTTAATTATTTGTAATTTATTGCCACAATTTATGCAATTTCTTTTCCTCTGGAGTAAAATCCCAAAAGGATTCTGTCCAATATAAACATGCTCTGAATAAGAGTGGGTCTCCAGATTTTAATGCCTCTCGTCATGCTCAATATCAGTCAATGTTCGCAGTCATGGGAGTTGCAGGTCAACACAGATCAAATAGTATGTTTCTATTGTGTTGTTATTGCAAAGTCTATTAGCTATTCATTGAAGCAGGATTTCATGTTTCAATTGTAGACTCTTCAGGTGGACTCATGGAATAAAAGTGAAGAAGAATGCTACAAGCTACATGTTTCAGGGAAACAAAAGCCTGGCCATCCATACAAACTATTCTACAAAAAGTATCTACATTGTTACTAAAATGTGTGTGTTTTTTAAGTTCAAACTATTGAGAAATGAGAATTGCTGCAGAAGAGATATGAGCTCTCAACAACTGAACTCACAGACATGTTATGTTCAAGTTAAAGTATTGCAGCCAGATATTTTTATAGCAGCATCTTTGATGCATGAGGAATAATTTTAATTTAATTCTGTACAGAGGATTATTGAATACTCATAAATTTAGGGAGAGGATGAAGATTTAGCAGCCTGAAGATTTCTCAACCACAGTAACAGTAACTGTGGCATTCATGACAACAGCCATTTTTCTAAGTGTCAGTAGTAAAGCCACACAAAGCAGACAAAGCAGACCTCCTGAGACTTAATATCTTGGTTGTTTTATGATTGTTTCTTACATGGCACCTTAGATAAACATTAAAAATGTATGTATTGTTAGGGAAAATACAGTAGTATGAAAAGGAGCAAGATTTTTCGGTACTTTTAGATTCCAAGAAATACCTACTAAGGTCAAGTGAAAAAATAGCAAAATATTTTTTCCTATTGTTATTTGGAATTAAGAACGAGTCAAGAGTAAACATGACACAAAAACTTGCTCCTCTCATCCCAGAGTTCCTTTTAGACACAGTTATATGAAAGCATATCTCTCAGTTCTCCTCTGAGAGATATGCTTGACATTATGATCTTCAACAAGCTTCACCCACCAAATATTATTATATTTAGTCTCCCTCTTTCAGATGTAGAGAGTTATATCAACCAATGCCAATGCCACAGAAAATAAACATACTGGCTGCGTCTTTGTACACAGAAAGGGACTGACTGAAAATTTAGGTGACTACAGAGAAATCAACCCTGCACAGAAATGAGCAAGTATTTTAACAGTTCCTTTACAGACATGCTCTCCAAGGGATAAACAGCCAGCAATCTACAAGAGAACACTGGAGTAGAGTAGACATCAATAAGGATGATGCTACCTAAGTTAGAAAGTAAAAGATGCCTGCTTCTTGGGAGGAAAGCAATGACAAATCTAGGCAGCATCTTAAAAAGCAGAGACATCACTTTGTCAACAAAGGTCCGCATCATCAAAGTTATGGTTTTTCCAGTAGTGATGTATGGAAGTGAGAGGTGAACCATAAAGAAGGCTGACCACCGAAGAATTTATGCCTTTGAATTGTGGTGCTGGAGGAGAGTCCCCTGGACTGGAAGGAGAACAAACTTATCCATTCTTAATGAAAGCAACCCTGAGTGCTCACTGGAAGGATAGATCCTGAAGCTGAGGCTCCAATACTTTGGGCATCTCATGAGAAGAGAAGACTCCCTGGAAAAGACCCTGGTGTTGGGAAAGTGTGAAGGCAAGAGGAGAAGGGGACGATAGAGGACATGATGGTTAGACAGTGTCATTGAAACTACTAACATGAACTTGACCAACCTCTGGGAGGCAGTAGAAGACAGGAGGGCCTGGCAAGCCTTGGTCCATGGGATCATGAAGAGTCGGACACAACGTAACGACTAAACAACAATAACCTAAGGTAAACATGATTGGGAGCAAAAATTTCAAAACCTAGGTTCTCAATCTATTATCTTCAGCCTGAAGAAAAACAAGAGCCCATTTCTCCCTGCATTGCAAGCGCTATTTATATCACTCCTACCTGGCACCTTTCAGTTCATACAAACAGATTACCAAAGAACAAAAACTAAAAGGAAATAATCACATAACACACAGTCACAGGTATCATCTTACCTGTTCAGGATTTGCAATGAAGTTTATGGCAGTGTGATGGCGATCATCTTCTTGTAATAAACTGAATGTAAACTGATAGTCAATCAGTAAGCTATCTGTGAACAAAATGTTTAAAAATGAGCAAATGCTCTTACATTGAACATGCATTTAATTTTTTTTCTTCAGATTATAAGATTACCAACATTCTAACACAATCAATATACTCTGATTAATGACCCACATCTGACCCACAAATTTATTTCCTTTTCCATGGTGCTGTGTTGATTTACTCATCCCTCTTCTCTCATGCTTGACTACTCATGTCATATCATGGAATACAGCAGCATGAACTGTCCAGTCCTAACTAGTCAAAATAGCTAAAGGCCAGCTGAGTTGACACAAAGCCAGCTGAAGCTGTGTTGAATCAACGTTTCTTCTAACCTACACATACTGGAAATTGGTTAGGACAAACTGCATCCTAGCCTAACTTAGTTTGACTATGGTGTCAGTGTCCATTGGATGGAGGAGATACGGATGTGGAACAATCCACCTCCTCTCCCATCCTAACTGGCCTCTTCTTCATCTCTGTTTTTGTTTGTCTACCAGCATATCATAGCAGTTCTGTTGGCAGATTACTCTGATACTAAATATCTGTAATGAGACAGCAGACAAATGTTCTGCCAACATGACAGGCTTGTGCCCAACCCCCTAAAAGCAACATATATTTCAGTCAAAGTCGCACTGTTAGGTCAAACATGTTCCTATTTATGGTATTAGCAGAAGTCCTTTTAAGATCAATGTCACAAAGTGTAATAGTTTTAATATTAGACAAATATTTAAATATTAGGAAAATCTCAAAGAGTGTACAAAACTGAAAACTACAATAAATGTAAGCATATTGCATAGTTTTATTTTACCGAGATGAAAGAACCCTGCTGCCCACACTACTAAACTATATACTCTTTCAGCATATTAAACATGGCACTAAGGAACTCTCTACTGTTGTATTCCAACACTGAAAAAAATAACCCAGTGAATTATTTTAAGCTACATGCAAACATTGTTATCATCATGATACCACTATGCATTATATTTTATATTTATTTAAATCACACAAGTGCACAAAAATTGAAAAAGCATAGTCCTTTGATTCTATTGCAGCAATACATTTCAATTTTATTTATTTGGCATTTCCGTTGCATACCATTGTGGGTGTAGTATAGTTGCTTTAAGACTTTACCAACATGCATTGTTCTCTGAATCATGGGCAAAAGAAGGTTGTTATGTTAATTAACTGATCATATGATCCTGCTAAGATAGATGGTACCACATTAGGTCCCATTAAAAAAAGTTAGGAACATACATTCCTAGAGTCTATAACTCACAAAATACCATGATGGAAACAGAGAAGCATAAGGACTCAGATACTGCATTTACATTATGGTGTTCACGGGATTGCAAAGCCAAGAAGGATACATACACAGTTTCTGGTACAGGTTTATATCTTTGCTTGGACCACACAGATCTACTTCCAATTAGAGATGAGGGTATTCCTATATGAATATCCCTCCACAGGTGGAAATAACGAGGGTTTGTCCCATGGGGCCGGACTGTCCACTCAGCATTCTGGCGCAGATGCACAGTCAACAAAGCCTTCTGATCGTGCCATTGTCTGCAATGGATTAGCCACTCCTGGCAAGAGGCAGGATGACAAGCCTCTCTGCCAAGTCACAGAGTGGGTAATCCTTTGCAGACAATGGCGCGATAGGAAGGCTCCGTCAAGTATGCGTCCGCGGCGGAATGGTAAGTGGACAGTCCGTTATTTCCACCCGGGGGATATATTTGTATACAAATACCCCCATCTCTACTTGCAATCAGTTTCCATACTACAAACCATTGGCAGGACAAAAATGATCAAGTCATGACAAAAGTATTAGAAAATCAGTTTGAATAAATATCAGTATTTAATAAATAAATAAATAAATAAATAAATAAATAGATAGATAGATAGATAGATAGATAGATAGATAGATAGATAGATAGATAGATAGATAGATAGATAGATAGATAGATAGATAGATAGATAGATAGATAAATAAATCCTAGATTTAGCTCAACCATATTTAAATTGTTCAGTACCAAGCTCTAAGGAAAATGTTTTTCATAAAAATATTCCAAATATCCCAATTATCAGTAGATTTGCTGCTTCGATGGGGCAATACAGTTTGTGAGAATGGTATCATCACTCCATAGCACACAGTAAAATTAATATACTTCACAGAACTACAATGTTAGATAAACTCTGATTATAACAAGCGACTTTGCATATATGGGATGAACTTACAGAGATCTGTACAAGATCTACAAGCAATTCAAATAATAGCCTAAAACTGTCTGTTTTAGATTACATTATCAAAGTCAAATATAATATGAATATAAAGAAAAGTGTTCCAAATCTAGATCCATAAAGGGCTTAACAGGACTTACAAAAATATAAGCTCCTTGGCAGTAATACGAAAAGCACAACAATTCCAGCAAGAATAGGCAACACAACACTACCATCAGCAACTCTCACAGAATTCCTAGCAATCATATCACAATACAGAAGTCACAGCAATATGAACCAATAATACCCTAGCAAGGGAAACATCAACAAACTTTGACAGGAGGAATATCAACCTATCACACAATTGATTCCACTTTCTGTCCCACAGACCATGTATCCTGCGAGGAAGAGTACATAGGGTCAAGCTTTCACACTGCTCATCTCAGTTCAAATTCCAACGCAGTACCCATAGTTTCACAGAAAAAAATGTCATACCCAGCACATGTAGTGAGGTCTATGTAAGGGAAACAAGAATTTTGTAAGGGGGGCAGTGGTATGAAAAATGTAAAATGTACATGGCAACAGCAAGGTCACAGAGGGTAACATCGTAGCACAACTCCCAGTGTGTCAAGAAAGACCAATACAGTAAGAAAGAGGAGTGAGATCTCAACAGAGCATGGTTATCTTTGAAATGTTCTGTCAGCAGCTTTAGTTTTGCAGTAGAAAATTGACTCTATAGGGACAGAATATGGCTTCTATTTCAAAGAGTAGGATTCTAACCATATAGCCAGAGAAGTAGGAACAATTAGGCCTTTCTAATTTACATGGGGCAGAGTCTCTTATAAGTCCCCATCCAGAAATTTAGTAGCAATCCTATGAATTTCAATTTGGCATTTTTCAATAAATATATATATTGCAATGCCATCTTATTTCAACTACTCTCATTTTCTTTCTGCTTTTTTCTTTCCTTCTAATATATCTTTAGCTGGATCTAGCCAGTAGTGTTAGCCACTGAGGTATTGCATTACTGTAATGCAGTGTGTTTTAGATTTCCACACCTATACACCGTCACAGTCTGAGAAGGCTCAATGGAATTCACACATTTCCAAGATTTTCTAGGTCTGTAATTTTGCCCATCAGATTTCAGTATGAGATGTTTTCCTCAAGAGCTTACATGTCAAGGACCTTTCATACCTTTTAAAACAACAAACAGGTCAAACATATGACTCACGGAAGAGTTTTAGTCATTTGTAAAAACAATTGAACTTATAAAGATCATTCTTTAGTAATTCTGAAAAGCAATTTATTGACAGTCTAAGGTTTTTTTTTTTGTATGATAAAATATAAAACTTGAATTAAGCAACAGAAATATAGGTTAAACAAATAAACTGCAAAAACCTCTGGTCCAAGTTAAAACCTGTTTACACAGATATATTTTATTACCACAATATTTCTGTCGGTTAACCAGCCAGTGCAAAGTCCTATCACAAGATTTTGATCAAAACGAACACTGTTTATATATCCATAAACATAAAACTACTGAGAGTTTACATAAGGTGTACATGAAAAACAAATTACTTTTTAAAAAGACGTCTTCATTGGTTGTAACCAAATTAAAGTGAGATGCTAAGCATTAGCTGAATAGAAATTCCAATTACCTTAAACCCAACAAACATTGGCCCAGATCCTCTTGCCTAGTTACACTGGCATAATGCAAATTATATAAATGGAGGCAAATTGTGTGATTCAGCATGCAACTCATAATGTCCACATTGATTTCTTGGGGCAATTTACCTCCAAAGACTGTGCCATTAGCATAGCTATGCAAGAGGATTTTGGTCATTATTTTCCTAACATCTCAATGATACCCATGTTACAACAGCAAGGGCAGTATCACATTTGTGTCATTAAATCATCTACAGCACTGGTTCTTAACCTTGGGTTACTCAGGTATTTTTGGACTGCAACTCCCAGAAGCCTTCACCACCATCTGTACTGGCTGCAGTTTCTGGGAGTTGCAGTTCAAAAACACCTGAGTAACAAAGGTTAAGAACCACTGATCTACAGTATAGGGCTCTACAGTCATTTTGGTAAAATACTTTGATACCAGGAGCTTAACTATGAAAAATAAAGGACCTTATCTAAAAGGTTCATGAGTAAATCCCTTGCCATCTTTGCTACCACTTACCCTCCTTGCTTTCATTCTCTTATTGCTACCATCTGCACTACACCCTTTCCATTACTGTCACCCACATTTTGCTCATTTCCAGAGCTGAAGTTTCTCCTGTCCACTGTGAAGGGAAAAAACGGTTGTGCTAAATGGCATGAAGCTCTCCAAATAGCTTGCCAGGCCTGAAAGCTTGAGTCTGAGGGGCCCTCAAAGTGAGAAGGGTGTCCTGGCATTTGTCAGAGGCAGGCAATTCACTTTACCTAATGAGAAGCACAAGACTATGTCTGAACTTTTCTGAGGCAGGTAGGATCTGGGAAGGAATTAAAGGAATCATAACCAGTTTCTGGATATGACTATATACTGTAATTTCTCTCCATTATAAGACTAAATTCCTGGCCCAGCATGTACTTGTTTCCCAAGTGGTCTAATTAATTATATAATTGGAGTAAAAGATCACAATTGCAATAAAGATATTGGCTGAAAACCAGTAACAGAACTTATTTATTTATTTATTTATTTATTTATTCAATTTATATGCCGCCCAAACTACCCAGAGGTCTCTGGGCGGCTTACAATAATTAAAATTCAATACAGCAAAAGATAAAATAATTAAAATACAA